TCGCTAGCGACATTTATGCGTTTGGCCAAGTGATGCTAGAGGTGCGCCTCCTTGTCTATATGAGAATAATACTCACGCCTATGGGTCCTGGTGCGGCAGCTGCTCTCCGGCCAAAGACCATTTTACGAGCTCCGTCATGAAAGTATGATATACCTTGCGATAGCCAGGGGTGACAGACCTGCAAGGCCAGACAATGAAATCTCAAAAATTTGGCTGACCGATCCAGTGTGGAACTTTATACAGGGTATGCCCTCCCCTTCGTCATTTCGAATAGCCATTTGTAATGAGGTTTGTGTTTTTTAAGAACTTACAATGTGCGGAAAGAGCGCCGACCATCGGCCCTGGAGGTTCTCCAAGCGATTCAGGCAGTACAGGTCGTGCATGCTCCGGAAGTGTTCGACACTCATACCATGGATCTCGAGCAGACTAAACAATAGGGAGAGTAAGGAGGAAGGACAGAGAGAGGGACAGAGAAAGTAGTTATAGCTAGCGACCGGACCATGCCCAACTCCAAGCTGATACATCAACACCCAAGTTGGGAGACCTTTTTTATTCAGTACAAATAATCCTTGATTCAATGTTTTGGACGACTGGGGGAGGATGGGAACGACATGGTAAGTGGATATCAAAAAGGAAATACAAACGCGCGAGAAAGGTGGGTAAGCCTGAGTCCGCCGACAAAGCCACCATGGACATCCGGCCTTGGGTCGAAGGCGTAAAGGGGGGATGCAGGGATGAGAGGGCGGTATCACCATACTGGGAGCGGGCAGGAAGGAAGAGCCAAGCTCATATTGGGATGGCCTCAGAGTGCCTCTCGAGATTAGAAAGATTGTTGAGTGACATGACCAAATCTGGGGGCGCATGATCGTGGCAACTGCCTGGGAGCGCCTCTGAGTGTCATCCGAGTTCGGAAAGTGTGGTAAAGTGACATGGCCGAGTCGGAGATGTATGATCCTGGGTGGACGGTAGCTAGCTGGCGGTAGGGTTTATGTAGCGCTTTCTTCGATGGACAGGAGCGCCCCGAGTGCCGTCCGGAATTGACAAGAGCATTAAATAGATTGTTGAGTGACATGGCCAAGTTGGGGGCGCATGATCTCGGCTGAATAGTGGCTGGGTTTTACGCTTTCTTCAATGAATGGGAGCGCCCTTAGAGTGCCGTCCGATTTCCGAAAGAGCGTCATGTTCACTGCTGAGGGGCGTATGATTGTGGGCGAACAGGGACTACCTGGCAGTAGAGTCTAACGCTTTCTTCGATGAACGGAGGCGCCTCAGAGTGCTGCCTGAGTTTGGAAAGAGCGATACACAGAATGTCGAGTGACATGGCCAAAATTGGGGTTGCATGATTGTGGGTAAACTGCATCTAGTTGGTGGTAGGGCTGAACGCTTTCTTTGGTGAACGGAAGCACCTCCGAGTACTGTCCGAGATAGAGTTTCCAGCTCCCGTTAATGAATGGGAACGCCTCGAGGTGCCATCCGAGTTAGGAAAGAGCGCCGCACCGATAGAGTCAAGTCGTGGGCGTATGATCCTGGGTGAGCAGCGGCTAGCTGGCGGTAAAGTTCAGCACTTTGTTCCATGAATGGGGGCGCCTTGGAATGGAGTGACGTGGCCAAATCAGAGCCGTGTGATCCTGGCCAGTGCCAGATTTGGTGCTGTCTTCAATGGATGGGAGTGCCTCGAAATGCCATCCAAGTTTGGAAAGAGTCTCAGATTTGTCATGACCAAATCCGGCACGTAGGACTCTGAATCTGTGGAAACAAGGCAACAACAGAATCGTTTGCTGCCTCGTATGCCGCTTGAAATCTTGAAAAAACCAGGTTTGCTGAACCCATGTTGGTCAGATAGCACTACCTGAGCAGCCAAGTGCAAATCATAAGCTAGTTTCAACAACACTATTGATGATCCTTACCTTAGCCCACTCAGGGCGTAGCGAGATACTAATGTAACCTTCCATTCTCACACAAACTTCCACCTTGTTGGCTGAGAAACAAGCGAACTATCCCATCACTCCATTGTGATAAACTACATGAACGACATACGAAATGAAAGTGCTTGGACAATTGTTCTGGAGGAATGAAGGCAGCTCATCCTGTTTGGACATGTTCTGAACCAGAGGCCCTAGAGCAAAGATCCTAGTTCAAAATCGCGATGCGTCGCAGGGCAACTCTGGGATTCTCTGTCTTCCCGTCTACGAAACAATAATGGAAGTTGTTTAGGGATTCATTGAGCTCACAATAAAGTTACGGAAGGATTGATGTAGGACGCGAATCGGGATGCAACTCCTGAAAGGACAGGAGCAAGAATGCTTGCAAGCGATTCAACACTCGGCAGAAACATTTGATCGTTCGGCATCTGCGTCGAGCAAGCTGTCTAGCGTCCTCATAGGGTCCCTGTTGGCCACTTTCACGTAGCGAAAGACGGCGCTGATACAAATAAACAAACTGCCTGCTCGTTTTAGGATTTCTTGTACCACCTGATCCTCGTCTCGAAGATTGTGCCGCAAAATAAGGATGCCATTCCTTCAGCTTTTGCAGCTGGAAATGTATGTGTCTGGCACAGTCCTGCGCGTTTGCGTCATCCGAGAGACCAATGGTGAGACGACCGAGGAGCGATTCACAAGATCGAATTGTCTGGATGTGCCAATAACGAATTTCATGGAAAATGATAATCTCCGCACTTCCTCCCAAAGAATGTCGGGGAGGGGCTCAAGTGCTGCTTTGTCGCATTCATCGGAAGCATCAATGATGATGACCATAGGATGATTGGAAGGCGGAGGTTTACAGAGGAGAGGCGAACCAATTTATTGAACTGCATCGTGAATGGAGCTGTTAAGAGAGTAGGGTCTCTTCGAATAGCAGAGACATGAAAGTGCGATAAACCAAATTACAGTTTACCAGAGTCCAAGCCATGCCGCTGGACAAACAATCAGGCCGCGACTGCTGTACCCCTGCCTTGAAGAAGCATAGTGACAGTCTGGTTTCTTTTTCGCAACTTCGTGTGCGCAACTGAAGCCGGCCACAGCATTCACGCCATCCCTACCAGTGTTATGACGCCAAGCCATGATACTCTCGGTGAGACCGACCCTAGTGCCTTCTAGGCATGCCTCAGTTGAATCATGGCAGGGTATCAGAGTCCATCAAGAATCATGGTCTTGACCATCTTCTATGGCCGATAATTTGACACCAATTGTTAGGCTTGTCCTAAGCAGCATTAACCGGAAACAACACGGTTACGGAACAGTGAGTCCATGTCAAAATCTTTCTTTAGACCATCAATCCTTCCTGGTCGGACAATACATGAAAGCCGGTCGTTTCGATTGATTTCCGCGCGCTGATACTTGACGTAAGCATGATATTGCCAACAATGAATTATAATACAACTTACCTCTACCCTTCTCCCGCTGACGTATCGTATGACAGCTGCAAACTAGTGTGAGCCCTCGTTCACAACCAGGTACAAGTCATCGCCAACTTTGACCTCGTTGAAGATGAAGAGTGCCACGCCAGTCGCGCTCTTCAGTGGGGGACACCATCTAACCGTAGCATCGACCACCGTGAGAATTGTACGTCGCCAAACGCTGCCAGGAGATCATCAATCTTCCTCCTGAGAGCTCTAGCTTTTGCAATGGGGTGGCCGATAGCGGACAAGTCAATGGAGAATTAGGCGCGCAACACACGGGGTGCGGCCTCCTAAAGCTCGGGGCCACGAGGCCGGTGTACGATTATGGAAGATCAAGGACAAATATCATAGATGCATGTGGTGAAGGCCGAACACTCTGATCCGATATCGTTGGCAAAGCCTGACATGTGCGATACCATGGCACGGATTGGTTATTTGAATAATTAGGCCGAAGCTTGTAATGAGTCCTCTTATCTCCTGCACGAGAGCGGGTTTGACCAGGGGACTGGTCAGACGGCCGCTGGAAACTGCAGTCGGTGTGTTCAACTGAAATATCTGAGTCCGCTCGTTTGTTTGTTTATTGTTTGGTTAGGGTCTAAGTCCCGGCTCAGTCCGCACGCCCAGCGAAACAGCACATAAACATGGGCACGATTGTGTGCGGAGCCTATCCTGAGCCGTTCAGTTAAAGCTGATATTTTGAGTGATGCGACACATAAGAACGTGTTACAGACAACAACATATTAACAGGAATGAAGGGGACCAGTGATCTAATCCCGCCACGAGTATAGAACGGGTCGACGTCGCAGCGGCAGCTCGAACAACTCAATGATCGATAATAGAAATGTTACCCGAAACGAGTTCTAAGTGTAGCGAATGAGCCAATACCGCGCTGGCGAGGAATGAGCTGAATTACTCACTGTTCTCAAGGATGGAACCATCAGGAAGATCAATCCGCGATCCCTCGTTCGCGACGATGATCACAGTCCCACGTAGGGTGATATTACGGCCGAACCAAACATCGCCCTATTAATAACAGACGATTGAACGACCGTCAGCAGTCCAACCCCGAAAATTGTCAAATGGACAGGACACACCGCGACCGTCAAATGATCCAACTCGAGAATATTCGGCACCGTACGGAAACGTTTCTGGAAGTTAGCAATCTTCTTGAATGTATCGCCGAGTTTAACGACAGGAGTCTGACTGAACATTCGTTTAGGGTTCATGACGAGTTTTCCATGCTCCAGACTATAAAGGTCGCTGGTGATGAGGAGCAAATCGGAACAGCTCTTCACGGGTAAGAATCGCGAACGGGGAACGTTGATACCGTGGGCATTCTTGAAGTGCTTGATGGCTGCACCGATGGCTGTCTCTAGCTGGACGACAGGTTGGCCATCATCAGTCACCTTGGGGTTGACAATAATGTCCAACTCCATCCCTCCGCTCTCCATGATTTGTTTCAAAGCCTGAATAAAAACAAAGGTTATGAACTCTGATTCATGCGCAATCAATAAGGAATTGGGCCTACGGGAAGGTGGATGTAAACAGAGTTTGTGTTGAAGTAAGCGAACTTCCGAATACTCTTGAAATCCTCGACGTGCTCGGAAGGCACCTGAGCAATTTCGAGAAGCCGAACTTGCCCCTCATAGTTGATGATCGTACCACCTTTAACGTCAGCCTTGGTCTTATCAGTCAGCTCCATCAAGAAGTCGACCTGACTGTCAACGAGGTGCTTCAAGATGCGGAGATCCACGTCCGCGCCAAGATTGTCCACGTTCGAAACAAAAATGTATTCTTTTCCACCAGTGATCAAACGATCCAGTAAGCCAGAGTTCGTCAGGGCATCAAAGAGATCTCCGTGTCCAGGAGGATACCATTCGCTCTTGTCCGAAGTCGGACTGCGTGGGACGGGAAGAAGGCTTTCCTTCCCAATGCGAGGGTACCGACTCTGGTTGAAGGTGATGAGCTACAGGGAACGGAATTAAGTGGGGATTTCTTCGAAGAAAACAAAAGTCTTCCATACCTGGATATTATGATTAGCGTACTTCTGGATGATGCGCTGGGTATCGTCGTCTGTATTGAATGAGTTCATGAGAATGAACGGCACGGTGACTTTGTGGATTTCGTTGAGGTGCTCGATTTGGCGGACGGAGAGATCCAGGAAAGTCATTCCCTCTCGTACTTCAATGGCAGACTTGGGTGCACCACCCCTGATTTACTGTTAGCATGGGTTATCCCATTCATGCGCGGAACCCAACCTACATGCCCATGCTAGTACCAAGCCCACCATTGAGCTTCAGGACTGCGATCTAAACGTCAAATTACGTAAACACGTTGACAGGTTGGTACACCTGAATCGATGATACCTTGTTAAGGACGGATGCGTCAATCGTTGCGGGAAGAGTGTTATAATCGACCACCTGGTCCCTGGAGGGCGAGATGACCTTATCCCAGTCACTGTAGAAAAGTGTAAAAAGTAAATCGACGATTGTAAATCGCGAATTAGCGCTAGGGTGTATTCAGTGCAGTAAGCACTTGGAACGTACAGCTTGTCACCCTTCGCCTTGTTTGCCAGATATCGACTGAAGAGAGAGAAACAGCTTTGCATCTCAGCATCGAAAATCTATTATAGCACCCAAGGTCAGAATTGTTGAATCGGTTGACAGGGACGTGTT